GAAGCGGGCTTTGCCAGGGTGGGATCTTGGCGTTAGAGCTGTTGATACGAGCCGAATTTGTTACAGTAAACTGCAAAATAAAAAAGGGAAAAAAATCAGCACGCCTTAATATTGTGCCATTTAACACCAGGGTAATTACCACCAGTGGGAACCTACCGCCCACACAATTATGTGCTAGGATAAACTGGAGGCACGTAATTACCATTACAAATAACTCACTTCTTGCCTTTATTACATCTGACGCCGGGAGAAACTCCCATCAGCAATTCCCCCACTGCAAAGTTAGTTGCTTGCTTTTGCTTCCGCTGCATTTTCTCCCTGGCAGAGAGGGTCAGGCGGCATGAGAGAGGACTCATCATCAGCGAGTGCTGGGTTTTGAGGCTAGCAGATAAATGGCCCCTCCGCCAAGAGCCAAACGCACTAATTTGCTGTGGGGATGATAAACCATATGGTGCCTGGCAGGGGAGGCTTTTCTCTCCGGCAAGTCCCAGGTGAGCCACCGCTGCACACAGAACGGGGCTTCTCCTGGGGGCAGACTGGGGAGGCAACCAGGCACTAGAGCAGCCACTTAGGGTAGGGACTGGTTTCATGCAGATCGCAGGCTCCCCGTCTCTCCTTCTGGCTTCTGAATGGAGAAGGGTTCATTTAATTATGCTTCATTTCCACCCTGTCCATCTGAGAGCACAAGGAAGTGGGCATGTGGAGGCTTCCTTGGCCTACATGTGCAAGGACTAAATACCCCAAGCCTGGAGGCCTCTTTCAGTCCTTTGGTCAAACATGGTGGGCAAAGCCATGCGAGGGTAGTGCTTGGGTCCATCTAGAAGCAGCCAAAAAGTCAGGGGTGGATCAGATTTCCAGCTCCCACTTGCTTCCTAGGGCACCTGGAACTTGGCACAGGCCCCCTCCCCATTGCACGTGTAAGGGGGCAAAGGAATTAGGATCTAGGCTGGAGCTAAATGAACACCTGACCTTTCCGATCTACCTGGCCCTGCAGTGCCTATGTGCTGCAGCTCTGCAGGCAGAAGGGACCTGGCCTGGCCAGTGCTGTGCCAGTACCAGCTCCCCCTCCAGGAAGAAGCACAGAGGAGCGTTGATGTACAACTCCAAGTGTGTGTGACATGCTGCCGCGTGCACATCACATCTCCCCAGCAGCTGCTGCTCCACTGGATGAGCACAAACTCCTACTGCCACCTGCTAAGGAGGCTGTTCCTTTAAGTCAACTGGTAGAGGCACCTACCACAGTATTGGCAGTCCCCAGGTTGGATCCATGTTGCCTACTGTTAAAGGTTATCACACAGGAAGAAAAGTCAGTGAGAGAAAGGAGAGGCTCCGGAAGACCAGGCCATGCAGCACATCCTATTTCTCCAGGCTGCGGGGAGTTACAATGGCCTGGGGGATGCTAAGGGGAACTCCCAGGGAAAGAAACTCAGGCAGATTTCTCCCTGATCTCTGGCCACCCTTCAAGCAAGGGGAGGAAGTAACTGTCCCCTGGGGTTCTGCAAAGCACACCCAGGCCACCACATCTGAGGTCCCTTCCAGCCCCTAACATCTATGGATCTATGAGTCTCATTCTCTTTGTTTCACAGATGTGAGAAAGAGAAGAGGTTGAGGGAGAGAATGGGATTCACCCAAGAACACGCCGAGTCAATGGCTGAGCTGGGGGAAGACCCCAGGAGTCCTGGCTCCCAGTCTTCTGCTCTGACTAGACCCCAGTCCTTCCATTTGAGTAGACAAATCATTGCAGCATCTGGCTGGTGGGAGAGGGTGCCGTGTCCTGCTTTGCTCGACCCAGGTCCAGCTTGGAGAGGAGAATGCCCTGTTCCCGGAGCGCCCATGGGAGCACTCTGCCAAATGCAACCAGACTCCGGCCCTGCCTGCAACAAGGCACCTCCCTGGGCACATGAGCAGAAGGCAGGCAAGTAGAGCCATGTACCCATTCAGTCAAGGGGTGGCCAGTGGTGGCATTGAGGGCAAGCAGGGAGCACGTGGGCCTTTGGTGAAGCTGCTCTGCCTTGCACCAGGGACCAGGGCAGCCTCTGCAAGGCACAGCTCCAAGAAGCTGCCTCCACTCCCCTCTCCTGGCCCTCAATCCCTGGACCGTGGCTGCGTCGGTGGCAGCCGACACCTGCACGGCAACCACTCAAGCACAGAGGGAAATGACCGTGCACAAGAAGAGGGCAATAAAGCATGTGCATGAGGCAGGGCAGAATGGCAGCACTGGCTGATTTATCACTGCGCTTCTTAACACCAGCTCTAACTTGCTCTCCGGCAGTTGGAGGGCATCAGACGGGGATCTCAGCAGTGTCAAGAGACACAACTTACCCCAAATGCCTTTGCGGGGGACTTGGCCCCAACTTGCCTGGTCTTCCAGCCCACTCAGCTCTTGGCCACTCTATGATTGACGCCAGCTGGTGCCTGCCAGGGCAGGCAGGTATCAATCGGGCGCAAAGAGCCCGGGACTTGCAGGCCCTCAGAGGACCAGCTGCGGATCAGACCAGATACCAAACCTACAGGCTTGCTGTCGCTGAATCTCCATCTGCAACCACAGTACACGTCTTTCAGGGGAGTGCTGCCGAGACTCCTGGGCTCTATTTCCAGCTCTACCATTGTCTGGGTGACCTAGAAACTCAGAGGTGAGCCCAAGCTGACCATAAGTCATCCCCACACCCAAGAAGCTGGTGCCTTGTCCTCAGACAGCCCCAGCCCAGAGACACAAAGAACATGATTGAACGGTCTTGTTATCTGGGGACGGTTTCCACGTGGGCTCCAGGGCACCCTGACATGCCCAGTGCCCCTTGCTGTCCTTTGCGACTCCGGGCTTCCTTCCCTGGAAGGGAAATAAGGCAGAGAGAGAGACCAGACTCTGCACCCAACTCTGCCCCCGGCTCAGGCAGCACTCCTGGACAAGTCACCTTCCTGATTTGTGCCTCAGTTTCCCCATCCATCATGCAGTGAAAAGTGAAGGAGACACGGGTGAGGGAGTCTCTGCTCCCCGCCTGCTGAGGGGTCCCCAACCAGTCTCTGCACAATATTCTCCTCCTCCTCCCACCATCTCCGGAAACGCTCTCTGCTTCTCTCCTGGCCTCTGCAGCTCCATCCCCCCTTTGCCCCATGTCCCACATCTCCTCCTCTCTTGCGCCAGCCTTGGAGTAAGTAGCACAGCAGCAGCCCATCAGCAGGACTCCTTGAGGTGAGAAGCACCATGTCAGACTCCATTGGGAGGGGTGGGGGAAGGACTTGTCCATCTCAGTCAGGGCCAAAGGGTCCCAGTCTGAAAGACATGCAAGCAATGGGCCCAGGTAATGGCAGAGAGACAGGGATAGTGGGTTGCCCAACCACAGAGTCTAGTGCTCATTAGGATAATTGCAGGGGAAGAAGGGGAAAGCTGAAAGAGATGCAGGACAGTGGGAAGGCAGGCTGGGCTGTGCAGGGCAGGGGCACCTAGAGACAGGCCATGGACATGGGAAGAGCAAGGGAGAGCAGGCTGTGTGACATTGCCAGCTCCTGTTCCCTAAGGGGCAGAGAAATGGCAGGAGGGCACCCAACCAAGGCATAAAGACCCAGGGCCCCTCTGTCTAAAGCCTCCACAACCCCGAGACACAGCTCATGCTTACTCTCTACCACATGCCCAGCCTGGCCAATGCTCTCCCCACCATCCAGGGCTCACCAGCCAGGGCTCCCTTAACAATAAGGGCCAAGCTCGTGGCAGACAAGACAAGGGCAATACCACCACCTTTTCCTCCATTGGTCACAAAGCACATCACACCCCAGACTGCAGGGAACCTACAGCCTCACCTCAAAGTAAAGGAGTAAACCTGAGTCTCTCTTGGGACTAGGCTACACCTCTGAGCCTCCGCACAACTCCTTGCCCTCTGAACATAACCAGTGCTGCAAAAAAACCCTCTCCCAGAGGCCCAAGAGGAGCATTAAAATCCAGTTGACAACAGATGTCCTGAGTCCACCAGCAAGTCCAAGCAGCGTCGGCAAGAGCAGCAGCATTGATCCGGCGTCCTGGAGATGCGCCAGGTCGAGGGCTGGCCTGAGCCCAAGAATTCCCTTCATTGAGCTGCCACCACTTCCCAGCCTCCCAGCAGTACAAGGCCAGCACTATCACAACAGAGACAGAAGCCCAGATCTCTGCAGTCGGGGTGTTCATCTAGGACAGGCAAAACCCAGATCCAAGGGCATGCCCTGCCCCATTTGGGCCAGGGACTAAACCAAAAGGAGGGTGGCCTGGCTGTTGTTTCAATGGGAGACCCATTATCATGAGCAGCAGATCCACCCTGGACCCAAGACATCCTCTCCATGGAGGTGGAGTCAAAACAGATCTACTGTATTTGCAAAGACAACTTGGTTCCAGCAGCAAATGCTTTGTTGGTAGGTCTATGAACAGGTCCGCTACTCAGCATCCTCTGCCTAATTGGTGCCCCCCTACCGTTCCCCTGGACTAGGCAGCACACTCCTCCTTTTTCCATGTCAAACCCACTACAGTCTGCTTCACTGTAACAAGGAAGCAAGGGAAGGCAGCAGAAATGCACAGTTAAAGGGCTGCTAAGCTCCAACTCAGAGAGAGCCACATTTTGGCAGCAGGAGGGACAGGACTCCGAGCAGCGAATGATAGCAAAGTGCCTAAATGCTCCTGCATGCAGAGAAGAGGAATGTCGAGAGCATCCTTCCCAAAATTGGTCACACTTATGTTCGCCTCTGCCCACCCCTCAGTAAAGCCTCCTTGCTGGCAGTCTCCATTCACACACAAGCATCCTCCAGGCTGTCTAATCTCTCCCAGGCTTGGCCTCTCTATCCAGGAGCATTTTTGACACTGTATCACCCAGCACTCTACAAAGATATGGTGAGATGTACTTCTGTGCTGTCACCCAGCTGGACGATTTCCAAGGCACTCAGTGACCCAGTCTGCTCCAGACCTTGCCAGTGGGACCGGCCTCCTGAATGGAGCCTAGGGGAAGCATTGCAAAGAACAAACACATGTCCATCTCACTCACCGCCCAGCTCCTACTGCGATGCAAGCCTCATGGTCCCAGGGGACTGTTCTCTTCTAGGGAGAGTCCTCCCTCGGGCAACACAGCACCATGGGTCTGGAAGGAAGAATGGCACAGTGTGTGAAAAGCAGAAGAAGATGGCAGCAGGTGATGTGCTTTGTTGGAAAAGTGATTTTCATCGACTCCAAAGCAACCCCAAGCCGTCCAAAGTTTCTCTAGAAAGATTTATCCCATGCAGCAAAAGACAGGTGCACATGCACATGCACACCAGGGGATGGGGCTTCTCCCCAGAAGCCTTACAGCCCTGGGAAGTGAGACAGACCTGCTGGCTTTGTTTGGAGCCAAGGCAGGCATCCTTCCAGGGAGGACAGGAACAACTGCCCAGGGATAAGACAACAGAGCTCCACATTGCATTTGCTGGGGGACCTGAGCCTTCAGAGGTCGAAAGGTGATGCTGAAGCTTTGAGGGGGGAGCTCACAAAGAGATCCGCTGTCCCAACTTTCTGAATCGGAGCCATAATGAGCCCATTACTGAAATGTCACCCAGCAAGACAGCCCCTCTGATGCCTCCTGGGGTCTTTCAGTATTCAACAGAGGCTCATGAAACATCATTGTCACTTCCCGTGGAGACGTATCATCTTTCACCTGGGCTTTCGGGGCTCTTGCAGACCTGCTGTGGTGAGAGATATGGGCCCCGAATACCAGCCAACACTTGGTTAACCCAGACCCACTTTGGGGCCCAGGAACCAGTCAAAAGGTGCAGTGGTAGCTCAACCTTTCAGCTCTGTGGGCCAGATGAGTGGTGCAGGGCCAGTCTGTGGGATAGATTGGATTCTGCAGGACAGGATCTGGCCTGTGGGTGCACAGGTAGGTCCCACACCACCTCTGCCTGGCTCCCAGGCTCTAGGATCAGGCCCTGCACCACCTCCATGCAGCCCGATGTGCCCAGATCAGGCCCTGCATGCCTGATCTACTGCACTGAGCCATTGCCTGCGGGGCTACCCACAGACCTGTGGGGAAACAGGACTCTGGGGGCCAGAGACAGCCCATGAGCTGGGGATCAAACACCCCTGTGGTAGAGCAAAGAACATGGGAGCCATCGCTTAAACCAGCACAGCTCTACCAATTTCCATGGTGCTACACCAGATTCTGCTATCATGGGTTTTGTTTGACCTGTGAAGATTTCGGAGAGAATGCTATTTGGAGCTAAGGCTTTCCCTCCCACCCAGCCCTTCCCTGATATATAAGCAAGTTTACATTTATTGGAAAGGAAACATTTCTGCCCATTGTTCCTTCCATAAAGGCAGTAATTCTGTAGCTATTGGATAGGAAATGACTTTTAAAAAAATACCGAGGGTGGGGGGTACATTCTCAGCTGATATAAATCAGCAAAGTGACACAGCTCAGAGCACAGGCTGGGGAAACTGGGTATGCTTGCATTGGTGTATTGAATGTGTCTTTGGTCATTTTAAATACAGCTCACACTACTTGTAGGGGTAGGTGGTGTTTAGCTTCTTATTGAATACATGTCCAAGAGGATCCTACAGAAGCAGCACAGCAGGCTCCCTCCAGCAGGGGAGTTACTGCTGACTTCAGGATAATTACAGCAGTTCTGCTCTTTCAAATGAAAAAGACGCTGCTGTTAGCAGAAGGCTGCAGCCATAGCATCACGCCAGTGGGAGAAGCAATGCTGTTACAGTCAGAGCGACTCAAAAACCCCATTAATGTCACTGCCGGGTTTTATACGGACTTGGCTCAATAAACCGTATTCTGCCAGGTGCTGAACATGCTGACCTTCATCCACCACATGCCTCAAGCCTGCAAGCAGCCAATGGAGGGCAATGAAACGACGCCCGTTGTTAAAGCCAAGCGTGAGCCCAAGTGCTTTGCAGGTGACATGGGGGTGAGAGAAAGCCCCATCTGAATCAATGCTCTCTCTAGGTTTTGAGTCACAGCTCAGTAGAAGCCTCTCTGTTGCCTTTGCTTCGCTTAAGATCAGTCCATAAACTCCCCGTTCCAAATCCATCCTGCTCCTTGCCCATCTTCCCAGTCATCTCCGTCTACTGTAGTAAAACAAGTAAGGCTTATGACAGACATTTGCCCTAAAGAGCTACCCAGCTATGGTAGAGCAAGCTGGAATCCATTCTGCTTTGCAAATTAGCAGCCAGATTGCCAGAGGAGTTCCCGCCATGGGATCCTTATTACTCCCGACGAGAGCAGAATGCACACACAGATTGAATTTCCAACACTGCCTTACAACCACGGCCACAGCAGTCAGAAAAATGGCCTTTCCACTTACAAACTGAGTCAATTTGATCTACACTCATTGGAAGAAAATATGGAATCCCACCAGGTCCTTTTTACCGCACTTTCCATCTATTTCCCTTTTTTTTAAGCTGGTTGCAAAAGAAGAGTTATAGAAAGCAAACATTTTATTTTAATCCTAATTACACTCTTATTTTATTAGGCTGCATTAGTAAAATTTACTCAATCCCACAAGAAACGGGCTTCACAAGGATCCACCTAATTTAGTACGTAATTTTGTATCAAGTAATTATTTTTTTTTCATAAGTTGAATTAGCTAAAAGCAGGTCCCAAATATTTCATTAGTTGTTTCAGGCAGGAAAGAGATAGCGTAATTAGTCAGAACTTTGTCATTCCTCTAAGTAATTACTTCACTCGGAGCGTGTGAAGAATGCACCGTTGTGCAAGTGCGGAGATGGGCAGGAGAAGATGGTACGATGGAGGGCTTGGGTGGGGCCCAGAGGATGCAATGTTGGGAGCCCCGGGGTTTCAGTGGGCTTTGGACAGGCCCTTCCAGGGAGTGCCCAAAGAGGATAGATGGGGGAAACTTCATGGAGGTCCATGTTGCCACCCCAGTCCACACCAGAGGAAAAATAAAAAACCCTGTCCACATTGCAGGTCCAGAAGACACTGCCTTTATGTATTGCCCCTCAATAGGTTTGCATTACATGCCACCTGTCCTGGCAGAGAACAGAGGCAGGACCCTGGGCTCCACGCCCAGCCACTGATGGCCACAACCTCTCAGTCCACCTCATGGCCTCTCTCATCTTTCCTTTCCTTCTCAATTTGGAAGAGAGCCCATGCCCAAGGACTCCTCACACACAGACATGGAACAACGGGCTCCTCATGCCAAGTTAGAAAGCCTGGAGGGAGAGATGCCCATAAAGCACTAACACGTAGACCACCAGTCATTCAGCCCACTTTGCAGCCAAGCCAGTACCATGCTGTTTCACCCTGGCTGATTGCCAGGGATCCTGGTTTTCTCCGATTTAAAAACATCATCAATTTCCTGTTAAAAAGGAACCCCAAATCCACATTTTTCTGTGATATAAATGAAACACCACTAATATAGATAGATAGATAGTGATGTTTCATTTTAATCATGGAAAAATGTGGGTTTGGGGTTAATTTTTTTTTAACCAAAACTTGGGGACTTTTTTTTAAATCAGAGAAAACCAGGATCCCTGCTGATCACCACCCCCAAGAGACATTCTGAAATGACGGCACGTTGACCAGTCTGCATCCATCCTTCTGTTGCAGCTGACTTGCTTCTGCCTGACTGCAGAGACCTCCAAGGATGCTGGCACGGAGGAGGAAGGACTGCCCTAGAGGCAAAATCTTGGGGCAGGAAGAGAGGCCGAGTTTACAAAATGCAAAGCGCAGGTCACTGCTGCCAAGGCATGCCTGGCAAACCAACAGGCCCAAGAAGTGTGGGCACTTTCTAGAGACAGAGCAAACACCTTACACATATTAGTGTTAGAGCAGCCAAGCATCTCACAATCTAAGGCACTCACACCCCCCTCTACAAGACAGCAGTGCTAGTAGCTGCCGGGGTATAGATCAGAGCTGACCAACTGGTGGGCTATCGGCCACAAGCACCTCTGAGAGGTTAACCAGCACCCCAGGCTCTTCCTCACTCCTCCAGCTTCCACTGCCTGCCCCCACCCCTGGGGGCAGGGCAGGGTGGCATGGCCTGGTAGGCTGAAGGAACGCAGGGCCAGGGAGCACCGTGTTGCATGGTGCAATGGGGGCACAGACCCCATGCGGTGTGGCACAGCAGGGGGGACCCATACGGCACGGCATGCAGCCAGCACGGCATGTGCCCCAGCCACTCAGAACTCAAACAGCTCCGTTACAGATAATGCAAAGCGTTGCAATACTAAGCGACGATCCCAGGGTCACAATAAAAGTCTGTGGCACAGCAGGGGTCCAAATCTAGGTTCCAGGTGGCTGTCCTCGGGTTCATCCTCCCTCCCTCCTTATCAAAGGGGGCAGGTGGTGCCGGAGGACCCCAGCTGGGGATGATGCGTTGGAGAGCACCGTACAACCGCAGTATGAGCCTCTAACCTTTGCTCTCCCATGAACTCAAGCCTGCAAAGCAGTCCTGTACACATGGGGAGGTATTCGCCAGACACCCACACTGCACAAACACCCACGGGCACGTGCACAAACTCCCCATGTAGCTCTACCAGGCTCCAACCCTGCTCACAAGGAGATTCTCCTAGCAGCCCACTCCCGACTAGAACAACCCTGGCTGGCTCACTTCACCTCTCTTACCCTCCCTAGGCCTCAGCTGGTCTGAAGGAGCCTGAAGGATGACAAATGCCTCATCTTCCCGGCCCCCCCCGCTTGCAGCGCGCTGCCCGTGGCGCCACGCGACGGCCCGTCAGCGGGCCCACGATGCAGTACAGGGGCTGGCTGGAGACTTGGCAATCCGCTGCCTCTCCTCTAACAGCTGAACATTTTCTAGCTCATTGGAGAAGATTAGTGGTACGCTTACTGCACTGCAAGGAAACGCTCCTTGGCCTTGTTTATCCTCAGATGAATGGAGCCTGTTAAAGGTTGGGGGGAAGCTCTCCCAAGAAGACCCTGGGAGAACAAGGGGCCACGCAGGATACACGCCAGCCTCCGCACTCGT